TAAAAGAAAAGTGCAATAAGTCTTAAATGACATAGTGCTCCAAGCAATGGTAAAAAGTGTTATACCTTAACAGCTTCATAAGCACTCTCTCTACTGTATTAGTTGGAAGGAAGAAATGTGCTTCTGAATGAAACAATAAGGCTGCGTCTACACTGGAATGATTTTCCGCAAATGCTTTTAACGGAAAGTTTTTCCGTTAAAAGCATTTGTGGAAAAGAGCATCTAGATTGGCATGAATGCTTTTGCGGAAAAGCACTTTTTGCAGAAAAGCATCCGTGCCAATCTAGACACGGTTTTGCACAAGAAAGCCCCGATCGCCATTTTTGCCATCGGGGCTTTTTTGCGCAAAACAGTCCTCCCCTGTCTACACTGGCCCTCTTGCACAAATACTTTTGCGCAAGAGGGCTTATCCCTGAGCGGGAGGCCTTATCCCTGATGATAGTATTTGCGCAAGAACACTGACAATCTTACATTAGATCGTCAGTGTTGCACGAATTCAAGCGGCCAGTGTAGACAGCTGGCAAGTTTTTCCGCAAAAGCAGTTGCTTTTGCGAAAAAACTTTCCAGTCTAGACGCAGCCTAACATTTAAGCACAGTACAAAACATAGTAACCGGTTCTTTCTGCACATACAAGCTAAAAGCCATAAACTCCACACAGAAAAATACAAGACAGCACTTTTGATTTCTTCCTGGCTGTATCATCCACTCACCCTCAAGCATTAACTAGTCCCTCTTTCTGTTGCTGAGCCCAGTGGGCTTTAGCTGAGCCTTGTGAGAGTTAGCAGTTGCTGATTAGCTCACAGCTGAGAGGACCTCCCTGAGTTGATCTTGAGTCATAGCTGGCAATTAAACGAACAAAGTCCAGCCCTTTGTCCAGCTTGACAGTGCCCTTCCTTTGCTCTTCTCTATGGCTTGTTATCTCTGATTTTACAACTCACACGCATCTAATAGAATGTATAATCATAGTGGCCCAGCTCTGAAGTAAGCATCATTTTCTCGTCCAGTCTTTTTGGCCACAAGTAGGTCTTTGATAATAAGCCTTTAGGACCACCAAAGGTGTGGACGCTCCTAAGAAGAATACTAGAGGTGAGCTCTCCCTGTTCTTTGCATTGGTTGACATAGATGTGTAAACTCTGGTTGTGGGACCTTGCATTGAGTGTAATACAATATGCAGGGATGTTCATCAGTAACCTTGCAAAACTGTTGAGATCAGAGTTTAGCAAACCAGGCAGTGGGGGCAGAGCATTCTGAGTGGAGAAACAAGAGAAATGGAGCTCCACCATAAGGTGCTACCTCTTCCTGGGCATGGTAGGAGGGAGTAGTCTGGGCACCTCAAAGAGTAGAGTAGGGGTTATAACTAGCTCTTGAGTTGACTGTGAAAAGCTTCCTTCTGCCACCTCCCTGCGTAGCTGTACCAAGGCAAAACAGAGGGTAGCCCTAAACCAAAACTGTTAATTATTGTGTTAATTTCTTAAAGAGGGACCAAGCACTATACCCTAGATCTTGCAGTCTTTGCACCTAATACTCATGACTTGAGTCCCCTCATTCTTTTGAGTTCAATTCTGTGTGATGCACTGTGGTGTATTTGCATTAAAATGAGCTCCAGGCTTAAAAAATGAAAAGCCTGCTCTGCCAGCGTACAAGCTCAAGCCCGTTAGCATTCTGGGACCTTTCCTGGCACCACTTACATTATTTAGGTGACTGTGCAATTATTGGCAGAGAGGAAAACAAGCGGTAAAGGACAAAGAACTTCAGACCAGGGAATGGTGTTATTGTTTACTTTCAGTCACTGGGCTTCCTAGCCTCCCATCATGTTGTTTACACTCCTCTTTGTATTTTCAAGCTAGTAGCATAGTAATTAATTCTGGTAGCACTTAGGGAATGTCTATACTGTAATTAGACACTCTCGGCGGGCCCATGCCAGCTGACTCATGAGGGTTCTTGGTGCTGTGTCATTTCTGCATAGACATTTGGGCTTCTAAACCCCAGGCTCCCAGCTCAGAGCTAAAGTCTACGCCACAATTAGACAAGAGCCAGTGCAGGTTTTTAACTGCAGGAGAGGCCCCAACTAAGATTAGTGATTCTTTGTGCTGGGCACTGCACATAGTAAGAGCTGGCCTATGACCCTCAACGCCTATAGATGAGACACAAAAGGTGGGAGCGAAGGAAACTTTCCCAAGATCATAACAGGTTAATTACAGAGGTGAGATTAAAACCCAGCCTGCCAGACCAATACCTTATCCACCAAACCACTGCTTCTAATAAAAAAAAAATGTACCTGGAAAACTTAGGGTTTCCTGTGACTCCTATTTTCTGAGACAGGACTCAATCATTTTGAAAATATTAAGTCACTTTTTCGGAGAGAGTGACCAAAAAAAAAAAGTGTGATATTTTTTCTTTGAGGCACTCTTGAGTTGCTGTCAGTGGGTGTTTTATGCATCAATATTGTAAATGCACATAAAGAATTACATTGGTGATAACTGAGTTAGGATTAAATAAAGCCATCAACAGTAAAATGTGCCAAGTCAGTTCCGTCTGCACTGTGTAGCTATTTGTAGAAGGAAGCAGGGACACTTCCATGCTAATCCTCTTAGGTCTGATCATGCAGTCCTCAGTTTAGTGACAGTTTTGCCAGTAGAAATATCTGCAGAACTAAATCAGCAGTTGTCAAAGATTAACATATTCCTGGTTTTGTTTTCTTTTTTAATTACCAGTTGTCTGATAACAAAATGTAACACTCGGATGATCCTCTGTCAAGAAGGTGTATTGAAGACTTCTTTTAAGTCCCAAACATATTCCACACTATCCTTGTGAATCACAACACATTCATACTATGCGTGTGAATTTTCTTAGGGTCCAGCACTTTATGTTCATGACATATTTCAAATAAAAAAGGATAAGATTAAATCAGAAAGATGCACAGGCAGTTGCCAACCGTCATTCTGTTGCTAGTTAATACTCATCCATCTTCCAAAAGAATGTAGGTGGAGCAAAAAATGACAGCATTCAAAAACTGACAGAATTCTCAAAGAGTTTTACACCTTTAATACAAAAATAAGAGCACAGGTTCCTACTTCAAAACATGGCATAACAATGGGGCCATTGTGGAGACTGTTAACTGATTCCTTTAGCGTCTTCTCTCTGTTCTGTATAAAAAAATAACATGGAAAAAAACCTGCAGTGGAAGCTCCCTATCTGAAGGTTTCTAACTGCAAGTATCTATCTGTTGTTTAATATGTTCATTACAATTCTAATATCTTTATTTGGCATATACCAAGCATGGTGAAGAGTGGGCACTTTCTACAACTGCATTTTTACTGAGCCACTGTTGGTTTACAGTTGAATGCTTAAGTGCCAGTCTCCCCAGTGCACTCCCTGAAAAACAAGAGAAAGTTTTATTAAGGGAACCTTCTTTCACATATTTTCCCAATGAGACAGCTCTTAGCCAATCGTAGTAACCAATTCCTGGCCTCCAGTACAAGCTTCCAGAAACACAGCAAGCATACATGTCCCCAAATTCCTGAAATTCACAGACTAATGCAAAACTGGAATGCTAGCCTCAGCAACATTACGGTGACCATAGTGATGTATGCATGTACTGGTTTGGAGTATGTTGTGTTATAGGTGCATGGAGAAAGTATGAGACTGGTGTTAAGATTTTATGTTGGAGTGAATTTCAGGAATTTGGTGTGTGCTTATAATTTCAAAACCAGAGGAAGGATGGGAGGACTGGATACAGTGATCCCCACCCTCAGCTACCCAAATCTATTCTCAGTTTTTCAGAGGAAGAAAACGGAAGCAGATCATTAGCTTCTCCCCCTTTCCTGCTATGGCTTGCCTGGGAAGAGGCCTGGGCAGGTGTGAGAAAGCTAAGAATTAATTGCTGTGCAGGGTTCAGGTTGATGGGTGTGTGTGAGAGAGAGAGAGCGCTATTGTAGCAGGAGCAACAGTCACCTTTCCCAGTACATTTGAGAGAGAGGGCAGGACTAATTGTCATACACACCAGGAATGGGCTGGAGGAGTAGGAGAGTTAAAAAATCAGAAGACAGACTGCAAAACACAACTTCTTTCTGACTTTCTTTAAAATCTCATGATATTGGTGGCGTGACTTATGATTTTTGGTGGCTTGAGGTTCACAATATTATGTACTGTTCTCTTCTAATCTGATCCCTGTCTCAGAAACAGGCCCTTCCTGCTTCCCATAATGCCCATACCTGGACTAGGTTAGACAAGAAGGCAAATACAGGCAGAAAAAACCTCTGCGTATGTTGTCTGGTCATTTTTGGGTCTCTGTACTTGGCAAAGACAGCCAAACTCCCGTGCTTGCCTGCTATTGCATCCTGTGATGCAGCTGGAGAACAAACCTGCATCTCCCAGCACTGAGGAAAATAAATTAAGCTTCCAGTTTAATCTTTCACCCAGTGGAATGGACAAACCAGGAAAGAGACCGTCTCCCCTTGAGAGAAGCCAGGAAGGCAGAATCTTCTGATGCCTGTTGGTGCATCTCTGCTCTAGAACATACAAGACAATAACATCCCTTATTGTGCTGACTAACATTTAAGTAGTGACAACATTCTATGCAGTATCTGCCTGGTAATTTGCTGCCATGAAGTTACATTGCTGATTCCAAGAGCCTCCATGGATGCACCAGTGTGAAATGAGTGTGAAAGGCGAGTCTTTTAATGGCTTGTTCTGTTCCCCCAAATAATTGCCACATAATGAGGAGAAAAAGGGGAGAAGGAAGAACAACTTATTTTAAGATAAAAATATCTCAAGCAAGGGTCATGCTGTCTTCTCAGCAGTGTTACTTAATGGCAGTATGCTACCAGGCAGTTTCTGCACAGAATGCTGTAACTAACTATGTGCTTGAAGGCCCAGTCAGTACAAGAGGTCATGCTATTTTCATCACATTTTCCCAACAGCAGTGATTAATAAAACAGCCAAATGTTCATCTCCTTTCAATTTTTTTTCTAATTTGATTTTTTTTCTCCCTTATGAAGGTGGCCCTGGCTCTGGCAAAGGAACCCAGTGTGAAAAATTAGCACAGAAATATGGATTTATACATCTGTCCACTGGAGACCTCCTCCAATGTGAATTATCATCATCATCAGAGAGGAGCAAACTGATCAAAGACATCATGGAATGTGGCGAACCAGTCCCTGGGGTAAGCTGCTGTTTCATTTGCATACTAAAGCAGGTAGGAGGTGTCCCTCAAAAAGTGTGGAAGTAGGAAAGCAGCACTGGTATGTATTCCCATTTGAGGGGAAAGTAAGCCTTGGTAGAGTCCTATTTCCCAGATATGTGGCTTTCCTCTTTCTTTTATATACTAGGGAAGTAGTTATCCCTTCTCATACCATACCCATACATTCCCTATGGTGCATTAATTATTATACACAATGGGCCAGATGACATGCTACATATTGGAAGAGGTGCAACACAGAAGGAACTTCATGCCACTTATACAGCTTCCAAATTCTTAGCTGGTCCTGGGCTGGCAAGGCTTTCAATGTAAATTAGAGCATTTGGTGGCTCTCTAAGGATCAAGCTGGCAGCCCAGAATAGCTGCATGCCAACAGATTGGAATCATGAAACAGGATAAGGGCTGTTATTGCAGTCTGTGCCAGGAAATCCCCCTTACTATAATAATTCCCAGATTAAAAAGAAGTGAAACCTCCCCTCCCCACCCCACCCTATCTGAGAAGCATAAAGGGGCCAGGCTGCGGGTCAGAATGAGGGACAGTATGATGTGCAGCAAGTGTGCATAGATCAAGGTAGGAGAGGTGTGTGTGTGTGTGTCTGTAGATCAAGGTAGGAGGTGTGTGTGTGTGTCTGTAGATCAAGGTAGGAGGTGTGGGTGTGTGTGTGTGTGTGAGAGAGAGTGAGAGAGAGAGAGAGAAATGCCAACCATAGGAAATTACAAGGAGTGCTGAGTCTAGGATAATGTTATCCTCCCCCGTTTGTCTGATGGGACAAACTCTCTCATTTACAACAAGATGCCATGATATTGCCATTCAGATTGTGAAGCGCCATTATAATGCCATTATGATGTCCCCACAGTCCAGAGCAACTGCTCCTCTATTTCCCCTTAGTGATTCAGCACCCCAGTTGTTGCTTTTCTGTTCAAGTCCCATGTCTGCTTACCTTCTGACTGGAGTGTTTCCAGGCTTCACAGCTTCCTGGCTTCACTGTGTTATTTGCATCACTGACAGGTTGTCCAAGGACACTTGCTTTCTCACCAGGGCTGGTTAGGTGTGATTGCTTCAGTTACCACACAGCACTTTCTATGCAAGCCTGCTTCATTCTGAAGCACTACAGAAAAAACATTAACCACAATAAAGGAACCCACGGGCATGCTAATAAGCTGACGAGAATTACCCGTAATGTTAACATGGATTCTGACCCAAGCAGTTCTTCAGCTTACCTCCCAAGGGAAGGGTACGTCTAGAATACATGCCTCTGTCGCCAGAGGCATGTAGATTAGGCTACCAGGCATAGGAAAATGAAGCGGCAATTTAAATAATCGCTGCTTCATTTAAATTTACACGGCTGCCGCGCTGAGCTGACAAACAGCTGATCAGCTGTTTGTCGGCTCAGCGCTGTAGTCTGGACGCGCGGGTGTTGACATCAAAGGCATTTGTCGACCACCCAGGTAAACCTCATCCCAGGAGGCATACCTTGGTGGTCGACAAATGCCTTTGATATCGACACCCGCGCGTCCAGACTACAGCGCTGAGCCGACAAACAGCTAATCAGCTGTTTGTTGGCTCAGCGCAGCAGCCGTGTAAATTTAAATGAAGCGGTGATTATTTAAATTGCTGCTTCATTTTCCTATGCCTGCTAGCCTAATCTACATGCCTCTGGTGACAGAGGCATGTAGTCTAGATGTAGCCTTCTTTGAAGTCACAAGTTCATCACAGCTTCAACTCAGAACAAGCACCCAGTTTTCTGGGACCTGAGTTGGTCTAATCCATCTAACCCTATGTTAGTAGTTGGGGCCTGTAGGGGCCACTGGTCCTGTCCATTTGCAGGATCAGAAGGAAGCCCATCAGCTGGTTTAAAACCAGGCAATTTATCCAAAAAATATTTCTTTGCTTGTTGGTCCCTGGAAATCTGGCTTGAACGAGTATGTGTAGACCTTTGGGGGAGGAGGAGGACTTCAGAGGGCTGATAATGCAGAAATTACATTAGCATCCCTCCTCCAAACTAGAGAAAGTGCATATAGTGCCCCGGGAACAAAGACACAACTTTGTGTTAATACAATGTACCCCAAGTTTAGTAACGTAGTCATGCATGGCTTACTTAAGTGTAGTAGTGTAGTCATGCATGGTTATTACAGGGGAGTGTCAGGGGAGTCAAAATAGATTTTGAGACATGAATAGATATGTCCCACAGCAACAGCCACAACAGGAAAGATTCTGGAAAATCCATTACAGGTTGGCCTTTGACCCTAGCTCTGGGGTTGTGTGACATAGCCAAAGAAAGGTGAAAATAAGCTGGTGCGCCCTCATGAGACACCCTGGTGAGAGACTGGGCAGGTGGGGCGAGGTTCTGGATGCTGCCAGCACCCAGGGCTACGTGGCCACAGCACACCCAGGCTCCAGCTCCAGTGCTTGGGCATCGAGGCAGTGCTCTTCCTGTCACCCTGGCCAGCCATGGTGCCTGTACATCCAGGCTTTACAGTCCCCACCATCCCAGGAATCTGCAGCTGAACAGCA